GACCCTGTCTCAAAGGAAAAAAAAAAAAGGAATAAAAACATTAAAGGGATCAGAGAGAAGGCTCAGTGGTTAAGAAACACTGGCTGCTCTTGCAGAGGACCTTGTTCAATTCCCAGCACTCACATGAAGGTTCACTGAGAGAGCAAATCTTTTGTGTTCGGACTCCATTTTAGAGAACCTGACCAAAGGTTGAATTCGAGTTAACCAACACTGGTACCTAGCACCAGTCTCCAGGCTATTCCTCAACAAGACCTGTGTCTAGCACCAGTCTCCAGGTTAACCCCCAACAAAGCCGATGTCTAGCACCAGTCTCCAGGCTATTCCCCCAAGTCCACACCTCCAGGTTACAAGTCTGGCCCTGGCACCTCACTTCCTAACAACCACCAATCAGGAGGAAAACAGAAGTTAAGTTTATGGTTTGACTCCCAGCACCAGCCAATTATGTTAAAGGCCGTAATGGCACCCTCCAAACAAATGTGTACCAGACTCGATACTCCCTTCTTGCCTCTATAAATGCCTGAAACTGGGCTCGGGACTGCACTCTCCTGTTCTACTGTGTTAGAGACAGTGGTATGGCCCATGCTCGAGCTTAAATAAAGAGACCCCAGTATGATTGCAACGGAATTGGCTGCTTGGTGGTCTTTTGGAGTTCATGAACACTTTCTGGCACATCATAGCCATCTGTAACCCCAGTTCCATGGAATACATTGCTCTCTTCTGACCTCTGCAGGCATCAGGCACACACTTGATACACATACATACATACATACATACATACATACATACATACATACATACATACATAACGCACGAAAGCAAAACATATAAAACAAAATGAATAAATCTATTTAAAAAAATATTTTGAAGAATTGTTCGTTGAATTAGGCCACAAATAAGAGGGGGGGAAAGTCAAAATCCCTGGGCTGGAGAGATGACTTAGCAATTAAGAGCGCTGACTGCTCTCTCAGAGGACCTGGGTTCTATTCCCAGCACCCATCACAGCTCACAGCTGTATGTATTCTAATCCCTGGGGATCTGGTGCCCTCTTCTGGCACCCTTGAGCACTGTATGCATGTGGTGCACAGACCTATAAGACCCAAACATACTAAATAAAAATAAAAAGTCAACACTTTGAGAGATTCTGCTTCAGGTAACAGTGACAGCCAAATTTGGGTACCTAGGCTCTAGTCAAGCCAACACTATGAAGGACTGAATGGATTCAAGGTAAGCCTTCCAGTGGAGAAGGACAGAAGTCTGGGCTGTTCTCAGTGGAGCAGTGTGAGTGGTGGATTGAGGGAAGGAAAGCTAGCTAAAGGATGGAGCGAGGTTGTCCAAATTGCTAAACGCTTCCATCAGCCTGGCGGGGTAAATGAGTACAGGATAAAGGAAAAAAGGGAAAGAAAAGCAATTTGGTGCAAAATGAAAATGACATATGATGCACATTGGAAACCAGGTGATGGTGCACACCTGTAATCCCAGCACTGGTGAGGCAGAGGCAGGCTGGTCTCTGAGTTCCAGGCCAGCCAGGGCTACACAAAGAAACACTGTCTCAAAAATCCAAGAGATGGGGGTGGATGAGGAAGAAGAGGAAGAGACAGAAGTTAAAATGCTATACAGGCAAACAGAAGAGCACACTGGTTGGGCCCTAGTCCCAGGCAGAGAGCCAGCATCTTCTTTTACCTTTTTTTTTACTTTTTTCTTTTCTTTCTTTTTTTTTTTTTTTTTTTTTGCCTCCCAAGTACTGGGACTAGAGGCGTATGCTGCTACTGCCTGACTTTTCTTGTCTTCTTACCTCACTGTGCCCCTGGGAGCATCAGCCATATTTTTCAGGCAAGAATTCTAACTGCCAAGAGATTAAATAACTTGCCTGAGAGACAGGACCGACAACCATGGAGTTGCTGGAAATGGTTAGTGAGGAGACAAGCCAAAAAGCCAGGGCCTCCACATTAACCAGAACTAAAGTAGTTGATGATGTTTAGCAGAAGAATTCCATGCATTAAAAAACAAAAACAAAACAAGCAGCTGGGCATGGTGACCCATGCCGTTAATCTGAGCACTAGGGGGTCAAAGGCAGACAAATCTCCACATAGTGAGTCCCAGGCCAGTTAAGGCTACAAAGTAACATTCTATCTCACAAAAATGAAGTCAGAGAAGGAAGCAGGACCAAGTAGAAAGCGAAAGGCTAAAACTACAGTTAGATAAGGAAAAGTAAGCAGAGACCAAGTGAAGCAGAGACAGGAAAGAAGGCTAGAGAGGCTGAGAAACAAGTGGCTTTGCAAGGATCTCTGTGGAAGAGAACAGTGAGCTGCCACCACACATCCAAGCAACTTATACCCCTGAAGCCATCCAGACTGCAAAGTCTTAGGAACACGTTCCTTTCAGAATACATCCGCCCCGAGCCTTCAGTCCAGCCTTCTGCCAATCGAGGGCCTTGGGTTCAGGTGTCTGGTGGGTTTGTCTGATGGACAAAGTATTCTCATAACAGCTAAGTCTTGAGCTCAGGAAGAGGAGACACTAAGGAGCCATGGAAGGAAGCCATGGCCGCGTGGGAAAGAGGGAGTAGTGTTCAGATCTAATGTACCATACCTATTGTGGGTCTCGTTATGTTGCTGAATGAGGCTTTTGTTTTGTTTTGTTTTGTTTTGTGTTTGTTTGTTTGGAGACAGGTTTTCTCTGTGCCTGGCTGTTCTGGAACTCGCTCTGTAGACCAGGCTGGCCTCAAAGTGTTTAATGAGTATGTACTCTATGCTAGCTGCAGTGCTGGGTAGAGGTGACCAAAGCAGACAGATGGGATCTGGATCATGATGGTTCTCGACATGTGAGACTCCCACAGGGGTCACATATCAGATATCCTGCATATCAGATATTTAAATTACAGTTCACAACAATAGCACAATTACTGTTATGAAGTAGCGACCAACAAAATACTTTTTTTTTTTTTTGAGACAGGTTTTCTCTGTGCAGCCCTGACTGTCCTGGAACTTGATCTGTAGACCAGGCTGGTCTTGAACTTAGAGATGCACCTGTCTCTGCCTCCCAAGAATGGTGGCACATGCCTTTTATTGCAGCACTTGGGAAGCAGAGGCAGGTGGCTCTCTGTGACTTAGTGGCTACTCTGGTATATATAACAGTTCCAGGACAGCGAGGACTGGCTACATAGTGAGACCCTTTCTCAAAAAGACAAAAAGTAGCCAGAAGGTAGTGACATACCCAGCACTCAGGAGGCAGAGGCAGGCAGATCTCTATGGGTTTAAGGCCAGCCTGGTCTAAAGAATGAGTTCCAGAACAGCTAAGGCTACACAGAGAAACCTGTCTCAAGAAAAAAAAATTATTAGAATAACTGTTAATGAAAGAATTAATTTCCTACTTAAAGCAACAGTTTTAAGGAGGAAGAGGAGAAGCTTACACTGTCACCTATAGCAGCCCTTTTATTTGCTTGTGTGTGTTTTTTTAAAGCTTTTGTTTGTTTTTGGTTTGGCTTGGTTTGGTTTTGGTGAGGAGTAGTTGTTTGAGACAAGGTCTGTCTTAGTTAGGTTTCTATTCCTGCACAAAACATCATGACCAAGAAGCAAGTTGGGGAGGAAAAGGGTTTATTCAGCTTACACTTCCACACTGTGGTTCATCACCAAAGGAAGTCAGGACAGGAGCTCAAGCAGGGGAGGAACTTGGAGGCAGGAGCTGATGAAGCGGCCATAGAGGGGTGCTGCTCACTGGATTGCTTTCCCTGGCTTGCTCAGCCTGCTTTCTTACAGAACCCAGAACTACCAACCCAGGGATGGCCCCGCCCACCATGGCCTGGGTCCTTCCTCATTGATCAGTAATTGAAAAAAATGCCTTATAGCTTGATCTCAACGGAGATGGTTCCTCAAGGGAAGATCCTTTCTCTGTGATAACTCTAGCTTGTGTCAAGTTGACACACAAAACCAGCCAATACGGGGTCTTAAGTAGCCTGCAGGTTAGTCTTAACTATATAGCTGAGGATGTCTGAACTCCTGATCTTCCTGCCTACATCTCCCAAGTGCTAGGTTTACAAATGGGTTCCACCATGCCTGGATCCCCAAAACAACCTTTCACTTTTATATTATTATTTTTTATTTTCTAATAGGTAATTCCTAACGCTTGTATGTAATTACTATATAAAGTGTTAAACACGACACTTTTATCATTATTATTATTATTATTATTATTATTAATTATATGAGTACACTGTAGCTGTCTTCGGACACACAAGAGGGCATCAGATCCCATTACAGATGGTTGTGAGCCACCATGTGGTTGCTGGGAATTGAACTCAGGACCTCTGGCAGAGCAGTCAGTGCTCTTAACCGCTGAGCCATTTCTTCAGCCCAGACACGATACTTTCTAACAAAGTACATTTTAACGATCCTACATGTGCTTCTATCCCTTGGAGAACAATCTTGAAGGCAGGTCTTTTTGTTTTGTTTTCTGGTTTAAGTCAATTTATCTTTCTTCGCCCTTTCCTAGAGCGAATACAGAGGACAATCGAAATTTAACATATTAGTTCTTTTAAAAATGTATGCTATTTTCAGTTTTATTCTGCCACGGAAATTTTGAATTTTTGGTTTGATATTCTCGAACGATCACGCGTGGAGTAATTCTGACAGGCTGCTTTCAGAGCTCGGAACCGGCACGCTCACGGTTTAGGAGTTTCGGTCTCCAGTGGGACTGCAGTACTCCAAGCGTCCACTAGGGCTCCTTCCCAGCGTCCCTACGAATGCCTCTGGAACTTTCCTTTCTGGGTTAAATGCTGGTCTTAATGTGCGTTCCTCAGATGGAAAAACTGAGGAGGCACAGCGTGGGGCAGAGATTTAAGAAGCTTTAATCGTGTCTCGTAGAAAACAGGAGAAAAGCGTTGACCGTCAGAGGGGATGAGACAAACTTGAATCACCTCCACGCTCCAGGCCAGCGTTGCCCGCGGGGCGGGGCCAAAGGAGGAAGTCCCGCCCCACGCACACCAGGCTTCCGCTTTTGGCCCCGCTGCTGGTGTCCGCCGTGGCCTCGTCGCGTGTTGAAAATGGCTGCAGCCGGCGACCCTGGCTGTGCTGAAAGCTACCGTTCTCCGCTGGCGGCCCGCTACGCCAGCCGCGAGATGTGTTTCTTGTTCAGCGACAGGTACAAGTTCCAGACGTGGCGGCAGCTGTGGCTGTGGCTAGCGGAGGCCGAGCAGGTAACTAGCAGGGCCCCTGGTGTCGAGGGAGGTCACGGCCGGAGCACCTGTTGCCTCGGCAACAGTCCCAGTGACCGGCACTTCCTTTGGAGGACTTCCGTTTGGACAAACCTATGGGAGTTTGCGTCCTTCCACCGCTCATTTCAAATGGAATGCTATTTATTCCTTGCAGGCTCAGGGTTAAAGGCTCTTCCCGCCAAGCCATCCGACATGAGTTCGATCCCTGGGACGGCTTGGTGAGAGAGGCGGTACCTGATTCCCTTTAGTTGTCCTCCGATCTCTATATGTATGCACGCGCGCGCGCGCGCGCACACACACACACAGTAATTTTTTTTTAAGTACGTTGCAAACTTGATGGTCCGAAGATGTACTTATTTTTATTTTTTGTGGATAAGTGCTCTGCCTGCATGTATGCACGTTCACCACCCACAGCTCGTGCCCACATACGTTGCCAGGAGAGGGAGCTAGTAAGCTGCCATGTCGATCTTGGGAACTAAACCGTGGACCTCTACAAGTGCTTTTAACCACCAAGCCATCTCTCTAATCCCTGAATTTTCTTCTTTGCAAAGGATAAAGCCAAGTGTGTAAGGAGCAAGGCTTGCCCTAGGTTACCCAGCTAGCTCTTTACAGCAGAGCTAGTATTCGATCTAGATTCATTCTAGAACCTGAGCTGAGTCCTTGGTCACTTTGCCTTCCTTGATGCCTTTAAAGCTAGTGACAGCTTTGGAACTATTTCTGAGTTACCGTTTCTGTGTATACGTTTTGCTATGAGGAGGGGAAATCTGGGCACGTGTTTATTTATTACAGAAGGTGCATTAGCTGTGGGAGTGTTATTGGTGGTGATTTGATTTGGGGTTTGAGAAGGAGGTTGTGTTTTTTTAGATAGTATCTCACTGTGTAGCCATGGCTGGCCCGTGGCTAGCTTCAGACTCACAGAAATGAGCCTGGCCGGCTCGACCTCCCAAGAACTAGGATTAAAGTGTTCAACACCACAGCCACGGTAGTATTTTGTCTTACAGGGGCTGCATGTACAGTTGATCAGCCCAGTATTTTTAAAAATGATTCTGAGAAAGAGTCTTCCCAGAGAGACTGAATGAAGTTGAAGGTGATCCAGAGAGCTGTAGCGCTTCTCAAGTTTCAGAGCAGGTTAGCAGGGTGTTCACAAAGAGCTCAGTGCCTATGAACACAATCTTCACCCTTCCTTCCCTGCCCAAGCCCTTCACCGGCTTCCATACAGCAGCTGTAGGGTGGCAGCAGGCATTTCTCTTGTACCTTCTGGCCCAGGCACTGGTTTAAGGCCTTTTCTAGTAGTCTAATAGTCCTTAAACATGTATATGAATTGTGTATGTGTTCCTCATTTAAAAGTACAAGAAAAGCTGGGGCTGGAGTGATGGCACAGCACAGCAGGTAAGCCCTTGTGGTGTTCTTGGAGAGGACCTGGGTTCCCAGCACCCATGTCAGGCAGCTAGTTTACAGCTTTGCTGGTTTAGTGTCAGTTGTAGGTTCTCCTCCAAGATCCACGAGCCTGAGTAGTTAGCTGGGTTTCCAGAACCAGGCATAATTATCCTTCCAGGCCTGAAGTCCAGTCATAGAGCTGTTAGTTATCACCACTGTGAAGTGCACCCTTGGTGTTATTATGTCGTACTGGTCATTGTAGTTATGGGCATCATAGCTAGGTTGGCCTATTGATTGCTTTCTGCCTTTGGAAAAACTTATTTGGTGCCTTAAAAATTGCTTTTTGTAAAAGCTATTAACTTTTTGGGTTTTTGTTTTGCTTTGTTATTGCCGGGAGATGGGAGGTCAAGACAAGGTTTCTCTATGTGGTTCTGGCTGTCCTGAAACTCACTCTGTAGACCAGGCTGGCCTTGAACTCACTTTTTCTTTTTTAAAGCCACATTGGATAAGTACTTTTCTTGTGTCTGTTTTGTAGGTGAGGAACCAAAGCATGAGGAAACTATTGGTTCCCTAGTAGTAGACATCTGGACTGTACATGCGTTGGGCTCTGTCATGCACTGTTCCTGTCCATCTGATACCAGCACTATGTAGATGAGGGTTGTAGCATGCAAGCCGTTGCCAGTGTCACCATAGCTTGTAAGTGGCCTCAGGCTGAGACTGGAGTGTAAGGTTTCTCTGGTCTACAAATTGCTTGAAGCATACATAGCTATGAGTATGTGTCATCTGTTAGAGCATCAAATTAGTAGCAAAAAGCAGATGTGATACATACCATTAAAGGATGTAATTTTTATTTTTTATGTGAAGTTCTCTGTCTGCATGTGGGTATGTGCATGTGTGAGTGCAGGTGCCACTGGAGGCCAGATGATGTCATGGAACTGGAGTTACAGGTGGTTTTGAGCAGCCATGTGAGTGCTGGGAACCAGACTCAGGTCTCTGCAGGAGCAGTGAGTACTCTTATTCACTGAGCCATCTCCCCAGCACATGTGTTAACCCCAGCATTTGGGAAGCAGGGGCAGGTGAATTTTTGAGTTTGAGGCCAACCTCATCTATATAGCAAGTTCCAGGCCAGCCAGAACAACACACTGAGACCTTGTGTCAAAAAACATACCAAAAATAGCACACGTTCCCCGATGACTGTGGAGCTGGGGAAACAATGAGGAGCTGGAGAGATGCTTCACAGGTGCGAGCACTGGGTGGTCTCCCAGAGACCTGGCTTCCTCTCCCAGCAGCCATGCAGCCGCTCACAACCATCTGCAATTTCAGTTCCAGGGGATCTGATGCCTTCTCTGGCCTTCTTAGGTAACACGTGCACACATGATATTTGTGCATACAGGTAAAACATAAAAATAAGTCTTTTTAAAAATAAAAAAAAAAGAGAAATAACAGATTAGGAATAATACAAGAGATTCACAGTATGGGTGTGTGCATGGGGGAGCACACATGTGGAGGCTGCTGGCTGACAGCTCTTCGGAATAGGTTCCCTCCCTCCACCTCTGCATGAGATCCAAGAGTAGCGCTCCAGTCTCCGGGCTTCCCTTGCAACTACTTACAGCAGCTGAGCCAGCTCTCAAGTCTCCAAAAGGAGACATTGTTTAATTTGAAGTCAGGATCCTTCTGCTTCTCCTTACCAAGTGCCATTATTATGGCCTGTAGCACTAAGCCCAGGTTCTTGTTTTTTGTGTTTGTTTGTTTGTTTGTTTGTTTTTAAGATTTATTTATTTTATGTATGGGAGTGCACTGTTGCTTTCTTCAGACACAACAGAAGAGGGCATCATATCCCATTACAGATGGTTGTGAGCCACCTTGTGGTTGCTGGGAATTGAACTCAGGACCTCTGGAAGAGCAGTCAGTGCTCTTACCCACAAGCCATCTCTCCAGCCCCCACTAAGCCCAGCTTTAAGGGAATGTTAATTTTGGTCACCATAAGTACATCAGAGTTGGGTTCAAAGCCACTGTACTTTGTATACTTGCAGACTAAGTAATACATAGAACAGATGTCTCCTCTGCAGCATGCCTTCCAGAGTTGAATGGGTTAACTAAATGTGGGACAATGTCATACAGTGATGCATGTGCTAAATAAAACTCAGCTAGAGAAACAGAGTTGGCACGGAATGTTTTACACGAAGGTTAGAGGAGGCCTTTCTTGACGACATTTGAGCCCAGAGACTAGAACAAGAGAGGCAGGGGTCACCCAGATGGTGGTGGTGCACACCTTTAGTCCCAGCAGGCAGGCCAATCTCTGAGTTTACGTCATATACCAGGCCAACCTGGTTTACATAGTGAGTTCCAGCCAGGACTATACTGAGAAACCCTGTCTCAAACAAACAAACCGAGAGGGGTGGAGGGGGCAGGAGTTAATAGTCAACATCAGGATTCTGGTGCTTCCTGTTTTGGGAGTTTATTTAGAAGATTCCTCCATGGGCTGGAGAGAGATGGCTCGGCTGTACAGATGGCTCAGATCACTGGTTACTCTTCTAGAGGTCCTGAGTCCAATTCCCAGCAACCACATGGTGGCTCAGAAACATCTATAAAGTGATCTGATGCCCTCTTCCAGCATGCATGTAAATGCAGTCATCTACATAAAATAAATATTTTTAAAAATTCCTCCATACTTTTGAACTTGTCACCCCAGATTTTAAGAGTTTTTAACCTCATTTCAAATACTTGAACATAAAGGTCATTGGACTCTCTTTGCCTGCTCTGCAGACGCTGGGTTTGCCTATCACAGATGAACAGATCCAGGAGATGAAGTCCAACCTGAGCAACATTGACTTCCAGATGGCGGCTGAAGAAGAGAAGCGCCTGCGGCATGACGTGATGGCTCACGTGCACACGTTTGGCCACTGCTGTCCGAAAGCCGCGGGCATCATTCATCTCGGTGCTACCTCCTGCTACGTCGGTGACAATACGGTAGGAGCCTGTGCTGTTTGCACTAGGCTGTGTGTTTTCCACACTCACCAAGGGCCTTTAAAACTACTGTTGGCTTCTGAAAAGAGAGGATATAACTGAGCCCTGGCTGTCCTTGAACTCACAGAGATCCACCTCCCTCTCCCTCTGCCTCCCAAGCACTGGGTTATAGGCCTGTACCACCACTGCCTGGCCCAATTGTTCTTTTTTAAATTACTATTATGTATGTGCTTTGGTGCTTTGCATAGCTGTCTGTGTACGCTGTGCGTGCAGCTCATGCCAAGGTGAGAAGGAAGGGTGGGGTCCCCGGGAACTGGAGTTACAGCAGGTTACCGCTGTCATATGGGTGCTGAGAACCAAACCCAGGTCTTCCGGAAGAGCAGCCAGTGCATTTAACCACGGAGCCATCTCTCTCATCAGCCGCTGTTCCTGAGTTCACAGAGACTGGGTTGTCTGGGTCTGACTCCATCCTCCCCGTTTCTACAGATGAAAAAATGTAAAGAAGAGTGTAACCAACAACCCATGGTTACAGTAAACGTCAGGAGCTCTGTAGGATGGGTGCAGTGGCACATGCCTGTAAACAGCAGGACACCGAGTAGGAGGGACATTCGGTCCACAGTGCCCAGCCTTAGAAACATGAATGAGACTGTCTCCCAAAAGCACACAAGCCAGGAAGAATGGCTTCAGCATCTGTCACATTGTGCCTGTGAGACCTGAAACCAGAGTCCGAGTCAGTTCTTTCAGATGAAGATGGCAGCTACATGTACCTATGATACCTTGTGTATTATTCTTTAAGACAGAGTCTCACTATACAGATCAGGTTGGCCTTAAACTCACAGAGATCTGCCTGCGTCAGCCTCCTGAGTGCTGGAGTTAAAGGGCTATGCCACCACCACCTGGCTGTTACTTTTGAGACAGGGTCCCAGTACATTGTTGTGTTACCTAGACTGGTCTATAGCTGGAGAGCTCAAGCTGTCTGCCTGCGTGGTCGAGTGCAGGCGTGTGCCGCTAGGGCCCGCTTCCTTTTAGCTTTGGGTGATGCATAATTAAAGATGCCTGTGTGTGAGTGGTTAGCTGTGGAAGAATAATCCCCTTCCTTGGGAAAGTCTTTACATTTGCTTACTTACTGGGGGCAGAATTCGTGCACCATGGTATGAATGTGAAGGTCAGGGGACAGTGTGTGGCAGTTAGTTCTCTCCTCCTCCATGTAAGTCTTCGAGATGAAGCTCAGGTTGGCAGGCTTGGCAGCAAACACCTTTACCTGAGAAGCCATCTTGCTGGCTCGGAAATCTTCTAAAAGTTCCCAGTGATGCTGTGTCTCCATGATTTTTGTGATATAGGGGCATGTTTTGGAATTACTCAGAATACTTTCTCTTACCTCCCACAAGAGCAGTTTGAAGGCGTGAGGATGTAGCCCAGTGGTGGGTCACTGTACGCATGAGGCTCTAGACTCTATCCCCAGGACTTGGGGGTAAAAGAAATTGAAGGTTTAACTTTCTTTTTTTGAACCTAAGGAAAAACTCTGCAGTAGGGTCCTTTATTTCTTTTATACACTAGGCCATGAATTTGTATGGAATGGGCTCCAGCAGCTCGGGCTCTTTCCCATTAGTCCTCACAAAGTGTGCTTCTCTGGGTGGTGCAGGCTGGCGCTTCAGCTGAACCCAGGTGCCCTTCTCTTTGGCTTCCTTTTTCTTCTGATCGTTCTCCTTCACCCGCTTCAGAAAGCTGTCTCTGCTCTTCGAGTGTTTAATGTGCTCACTCCGCACATTGATCCTCTTGGCCAGAATCCTGCCCGTAACTTGCTTGTTTACAATGATGCCCACGGCACGCTGGGTGACATTGTAGACTCTTCCGGTTTTGCCGTGGTAACACTTATGGGGCGTTCCTTTTTGAACAGTACCCATTCCCTTGATGTCTACAATATCACCCTTCTTATAGATTCGCATGTATGTGGCCAAAGGAACAACTCCATGTTTCCTAAAAGGCCTAGAGAACATATACCAAGTGCCTCTCCACTTTCCCTTTGTGTTGGTCATTTTGGCGAGTTAACTGGAAGATGGGTGCCTAGGCCCAAGATTTAACTTTCTTAAACTTTGATGTTCTAGATCATGCCTTCCTGTGCTATCAAGGATGGATGAACAGGGCAAGGTGGCTTAAACCTTTATTCCTGGCACTCGGGAGGCAGGGGGCTCAGATGTGTGTGAGGACAAAGCCAGTCTGGTCTACATACTAAGTTCTGTAACAGCCAGAGACACCTTGCCGATAGATTGGTGGGTGGAAGGGTGATGGATAGATGATGGGTGGATGAGACTCCTGCTGAAGGAATGTGCCATGTAATAAATATAAAAGCCCACGGGCTTACAGTTCTCAGTCGGTGTGGCCACCACACACTGAACTTATGGATCCCGGCAATCCAGTGTCCTTCTGCTCTGTGAGTTGTCCACTAGCTGATGATAGTCTTTAGCTTGAGCTTCCTCTGTGGGCAGAGATGACCCTGAACTCATGATCCCCCTGCTTCCACTTCTCAAGTGCTGACGTTGGAGGTGTTTGCCACTATTCCAAGTTAATGTGGTGCTGAGGGTGGAATTTGTGGCCTTGCATCTGCTGGGTAAATAGACTGCCGCCTGAGCTACAGCCCAGCCCAGCTCTTGTGCATTAAATGGTAGTGAGGATAAAGCAGCCTCTTGACACCTTTCGGAGCACACTGTCTGCTAAAGGTGAGATGGACTGCTTGCTAGCTGAGACACCAACTCTAGTGACCAGAAAATATCATTACAGTGGTGCTGTTTGCCTCTGTTCAAGGTGAAACCATTGAATTTTCTTTCCTTTTCAGGACCTGATTATTCTGAGAAATGCATTTGACCTGCTTTTGCCAAAGGTAAGATGCTGGCAGAAGTTTCCTGTCAGTTTAGGTGTCTGCAATTTCAGTGATTCTACACAGTGTTGATATCTAAAGCTTATCATGTTCTCAAGTCAGGGACTCTATATATCATGTGTCCCTTCTTTGGTTAAAACATGAGGTAGGGTGGTACATGTCTAATCCCAACAGTGGGGAAGCAGAGGCAGGCAGATCTCAGAGTTTAAGGCTAGTCTGGAAGACTGTAAGTGATTGCTTTATAAAGTATAGCCTTTTAAATGTAGCAGGTTCAACCAGAGACGTGTTGCTGGAGTATGTTGGTCAGGCCATGACTTGCTCCTGTTGTTCTGCAATGGTCTTAAAATAGTGTGTGACATGGTAGGGAGTCGACTCGGTTTTCAAATGTTGGCCCCTGTCCTTCGTGGCCAGGACACATTGAGATTCAGAGGTGAAAAGACACAAGTGCTGCCCTCCCCGAGCCGAAGATGTAACTTTATGTAAAATTGTGTGAACATTTAGTTAAAGTTGCATAAAGAACTCAGTTGAATTCACCGTCTTCCCACCACATGGTCTTTCTTGTAGCTTGCTAGAGTGATCTCGAGGCTTGCCGACTTTGCTAAGGAGCGTGCTGATCTGCCCGCCTTAGGGTTCACACACTTTCAGTAAGTGACGAGACCACTGTTGGGGAGTTGAATTCATGCATGTGTGTGTTGAGGCCAGAACCTTAAAGCTGGGCAGAGAACTTGGGACCCTGCTGAGAAATGGGCCTGACACCCTGATTAGAAACTTTTCTGGGGACCGGGAATGTTGCTCAGTGGGAATTGATTGCCAGGCGTACTTGAACTCTTGAGTCCTACGTCCAGCATGACAAGAAAGAGTCAATAGACCACACTGAAGCCATGCTGGGAGGCGTGGCCTGTATCCCAGCTGCTTGATGGCCCGAGCTAGGGCAGTTTGAGCCCGTGGGGTCTGTCCTAGACTGGACAGCATAACAAGACCATCTCAACAAGGAAAAGTACAACTTCTTAATAATCACATTTCTTCGTTTGTTTATTTGTGTGCACACATGTGACCGTGCACAGTTAGGGGTCGGAGGACGACTTCTCTCCTGCCTTCCGTGATGTGGTTGCAGGGATTGAACTGAGATCATCAGACTGGCAGTCAGCTCCTTTACCAGTTAGGCTACCTCACTGGCCCAGTAATTAGCAGTTTATATTTATCAAGACCGAAGAGTCATTTATTCTTGTTTTAGTGTGTGTGGGTGGTTTGTCTGCATGTATGTATTCATATGCACCACTTCCATGTCTGATGCCCAAGGAGACTGGAAAGGGGCATCAGATTCCTTCTAACTGGAGTTATGGATGGTTATGAGCCACTGTGTGGGATGGAACCGGGTCATCCAAGAGCAGCCGGTTCTCTCAGCCTCTGAGTCGCTCCAGTCCCCTCACGCTCCTTTTTTATTCCTTTCTTGAGAGTCTAGCCCAGGGAAGTAATCCAAATTCAGGGAAAAGTTTGTGCATAGAAGTCTTTGTTAGGATATTGTTTATAGTAGCAGTGAAATTAGTCTAAATGACTTGGCCAGTGAGGATAATTAAAGTACAGTATGCCCAGAGGTTGTGGTAATATCCAGCCATTAAAATGTTGCTTATAAAAATATGGACGCATGCTTAGGTTTATGTTATAGCAGGAAAAGAGAGCCTAACACGAAGACCAGGTGTAGTGACGCACACCTTTAATTCCAGCATCTGAAAGCCATGGCAGGTGGTATTCTGTGAGTTCAAGTCCAACCTGGTCCATGTAATGGGTTCAAGGATAGCCAAGGATGCACATATCTTTCTCAAAAGAAGAAAAAAATATTACACAACGGTTACCAGAAAGAGTATCACCTTGTTAATTCGATTACTCTGGTGTAGGTTATAATAATTAAAAATGTCCCCATTTTAATCTGTATATGTCTTGACAAGAGCTCTCCGCTAGAGCTACACTCCCAACTCTCTAGTTTCTGTTTTTCTTGTTTCGTTTGTGAAATGTTTCACTGTGTAGCTCTGGCTGGCTTGGAACTCTTGTGTAGACCAGGCTAGCCTCAAACTTAAAGAGATCTGCCTGTCTCTGCTTCCCAGAGATGAACTATGAGTTCAAAGGTTTGCACCACCTTACCCAACTCAGCCCTGTGGTTTTGATCTTAGGATGTGGAAGCATTTTTATAGTTACTAAATACAGCCCTAAAAAGTTGTATCATCTTTGGAATTCCAAACTGTTTTTAGTATATTAACAGTGTGTGATAATTAGTGCCTTAATTTCACATATCTCTATCAGCAGTCACTTCTTATCACCCCTCCTTGCTTCTGACAAACACAAAGCTATTTTTTATCTGTAGATTCATCCAAATGGAATCACATACAATATATGGCCTCTTGTGGATGACATCTTTCCTATAAAATATTTCTAATATTCATAGTGTGGCTTGTATTTGGAATTCATTTCTTCTTATAGCTGGCAGCATCTCACTCAATACAAAAGCCTCATTTCGTTTGCCCCTTTATCAGTTGTGAGCATTTGGGTAGACATTTTACAGGCTTTATGAATAGTGCTGCTGTGTACACGCCCACACAGATCACTCTGAGGGAGAGTCAGTGTGGGAATCCTGTTTAGGGATGCTCCAGTGCACCCTCCATGGTCACTTGTCTGGATGTTGCTGGCTGCCCGTCTGACGAGAGACCACTTGCCATCTAGACCGTCTAGAGCTTGCACACAGTTGCAGCTTGTTTGTATTTTCTATTAAGAAACAGACCGTGGTGGGCTAGGCTATCATTACTGCCCCTTGCAGTTATTATGGTCAATAAACCTGTTTTCTTCTTGCTTTAAAGAACAAAAAGAGAACACGGATGGATGTATTAGGCTTTGGATTAGAGCAGACATTTGCTGTTATGAATATCTTGTGTGTTTCTCAATATTGTGACTGCCACATCATTGGGTTTTGCTTCTCAAAAGGCCAGTCAGTCCCTTACCCCCAGTCTAGAGACGTCTGCCACAGTGTCTATTTAAAACATCAACAGTTGCCAGCCAGATGTGGCACACACCATAAATCCCAGCCCTCAGGAGTCAGAGGCAGGTTTATCTGAGTTCGAGGCCAGCCTAGTCTACAGAGCAGGTTCCAGGACAGCCCGGGCTATACAGAGAAACTGAATCTTGAAAAACAAACAACAAACTATTTCCTTTTTTTGTGCATTTGTTCTTTCCTGTTTCTGCACATGAAGTGTTTGTGAGTCCATTGCCACAGCGCCTGTGTGGAGGCAGAAGACAAGTGTTGGTGTCCTGTTCTCTCCTCTCCTGTGGCCTCAGGTCACCAGGCTTTTGTGGCAAGTGCTTGAGCCGCTGAACCATCTTGCCAGCCCTGTTGTATCTCTTTATGCTCCTGGTTGTAAGCTGTGGACAGGGAGCCTCACTGATCTGTTTGCTGTTGTATTTTCAGACCGAGAACACACATCATACATTTGCAGACATTTGGGTCATGAGCACCTAAGCATTTCTTGTCAACATCTGGAAATACATCCGTCAACAAAGCATACATTGTCCCCAGCCTTTGATTGGAATAACTCTTGGGGCTATGGATATAACTCAGTAATCAAGTTAATTTAGGATGTATGAGGTCCTGAATCTCATCTTCAATACCTCAAAGGAAGAAAGAAGCCCTTTTAAAAAATACACACCCTAGAGGATGGAGAGATAGCTCAGTGATTAAGAAAGAGTACTGACTGCTCTTGCAGAGGTCCTAAGTTCAATTCCCAACAACCACATGGTGGCTTACAACCATCTGTAATAGGATCTGATGCCTGATGCCCTCTTTTGGTGTGTCTGAAGACACTGACAGTATACTCACGTACATAAAATACACAACTTTTAAAAAAAAAATGCATACTCTCTGAATGTGCGTTTGGGGAGAGTGTGCTCCAGCATATGAGTGGGATGAGAGGACAGTTTGTAGGAATCTTGGTTCTCTCCTTCCACCATGTGGGTTATGGAGACCAAACTCATGTCACCAGACTTGGCAGCAAGCACCTTTGCCCACTGGACCATCTTATCTTTGTTTTGTTTAAAAATAGTGTTTTCCTGAGGAATCTATACTGGCCTCAAACCTGTCAGCCTTAGCCTCCTGAGTGCTGGGATTACAGCCCAGTGTTTCCAAGCTCTTAAAAAGCTTCTTGGCAAAGAACTATGTTGGCAGCCCTTTATAGTTAGTTTGTGATAACAATGATGCCTTCACTCTTCTTCTTCTTCTTTTTTTTTTTTTTTTTTTAGTTTTTTGAGACAGGGTTTCTCTGTGGAGCCCTGGCTGTCCTGGAACTCACTCTGTAGACCAGGCTGGCCTCGAACTCAGAAATCCACCTGCCTCTGCCTCCCAAGTGCTGGGATTAAAGGCATGTGCCACCACTGCCCAGCAACCTTCAGTCTTCTTGACTCCGGGTTTTAGCTATTGTTTTGTCTTTCCTGCTTCCTCCAGTTCCTACTTGGGTAATGGTGGCTGTAAGGTGAGGGTAGGCTTTAGTCTGGGACCTCTGTGTTCTTTGTGCTCCTTTCAGGCCTGCTCAGCTGACCACGGTTGGGAAACGCTGCTGCCTTTGGATTCAAGATCTCTGCATGGATCTCCAGAGCTTGAAGCGTGTCCGTGGTGAGCTGCGCTTCCGAGGAGTGAAGGGCACCACTGGCACGCAGGCCAGTTTCCTGCAGCTCTTCGAGGGGGATCACCAGAAGGTATTCTAAGGAACCAGCAAAATGGACACTCGAGTCAGTTCCAGGACTGACATGCAAACTGTCCTGTAAATTATCCTGTTTCTACACTCATGTGAGTGTGTATTCTAGCTCAGTTCAGTAGTGCCAACCCACAAGACAAGGAAGGCTGCCTCTGACTTGATTGATGACTAGTGAGCATACTCAGACTGAGCACCTGTGCTTCTTTTCTTTCTGTTTTTTTTTTTTAAGAGATTTTATTTTATTTATATGAACACATTGTAGCTGTCTTCAGACACACCAGAAGAGGGCATCAGATCCTATTACAGATGGTTGTGAGCCACCATGTGGTTGCTGGGAATTGAACATAGGTCCTCTGGAAGAGCAGGCAGTGCTCTTAACCACTGAGCCATTTCTTCATCCCACATCTACATTTCTTGTTTTCTTTTTATTTTTCTTATTGTTTCTTCTTTTATTTAATCAAAGCGACCGAACCCAGGGCCTTGCGCTTGCTAGGCAAGTGCTCTACCACTGAGCTAAATCCCCAACCTTTTTTTCATTTTAATTTTATTTTATGTGTCTATACACATAAATTACGTGTGAGGGTGTCAGAACCCCTGGAACTGGAGTTACAGACAGTTGTGAACTGCCATATGAGTGCTGGGAATTGAACCCAGCTCCTCTGGAATTAGAGCCAGTAAAAGGGTTTTCTGTTTGTTTGAGACAGGTTTCTCTGTGTAGCCCTTGCTATCCTGGAACTTGGTTTGTATACCAGGTTGACCTCAAACTCACAAAGAACCACCTGCCTCTGTTTCTCAAATATTGGGATTAAAGGCTTTTGAACACCTGAATTTCGGGGTTTGTTTTTTGTATAACAAAGCCTTGGCTGTCCTGGAACTTACTTTGTATACCAGGCTGATCTTGAACTCACAAAAATACTCTGCCTCCTGAGTACTAAGGTTAAAGGCATGTGCCACCATGCCTGGCGAACACCTCTGTTTCTAATAGGATGTGTCTTGTCTTTCTCAAAGGTGGAGCAGCTAGACAAGATGGTAACAGAAAAGGCAGGGTTTAAAAGGTATGTACATACCTGGGAAATGCTGGGCCCTGTTAATGACAGGCCTCTAGATTCAACGCTTTCCTCCTCCTCTTCCTATTCCTCTTCCTTCCCTTCCTTTTGTGTGTTTATATTTGAACGTTTACTTCAGTGCATGCCTGTGTGCCACATTTGTGTCTTGTATATGTACGAATGCTTTACCTGTGTGAATGCCTGGGTACCACATTGGTGTTTGTGGCTGGTACTTGCGGAAGTCAGAAGAGGGCTTTGGATCCCCTAGAAATGGAGTTATGGATAGTTGTGAACCGCTGTGTGTGCTAGGAATGGAACCCAGATCTCTGTGAGTGCAACCAAGTACACTTACTGCCAAGCTATCTCTCCTGTCCTTTCTCTCTTTCTTTATTTTTTTTTAATTTTTGTTTTATATATATGCATGTTTTGTCTATGTGTATGTCTGTGCGTGTGGGTGTACTGCCATATGGATGCTGGGTATCAAACCCAGGTCCTCCTTAAGAACAACAAATGAAGACCGGTAGTGGCACTCACCTTTAGTCCTAGCAGAGGCTGGCAGCTCTCTGAGTTCCAGGACAGCCATGCTCTTAACAGCTGAGCTGTCTCTCCAGCCCCTTGGTTTACTTATGGTGCTTGGTGCATATTGCTATTTTGGGTTTGTTGGTTTGTTTGAGATAAAGTCCCACTTTGTAGTCCAGGAAACTCAGTGTATAGACCAGACTAAGCTTGAATTCACCAGAGTCCTTCTGCCTCAGCATCTGATGCTAGAATTCCAGTCTGAGGTCACCACGCCTGGATATGTTGCTGGCTTTGTTTCTTTCCTGGGATCCCTCAGTGTGGTTTACTCTGACCACCTGTGTTGAGGCCACCAGGCTCTTCCATGATTCCTTTTTCTCAGCACCTCATAGCACAGCAGGGGACATGGGCATTTAGGTTCTGTACCTCCTTAGATCAGAGCAGTTTGATGGGGATTGGGAAACAGCTTGTTTCAGTAGCTAGTTTCCAGTCAGGCCTTCTGAGCTCAGCATAACTAAGCATTCCAGGAAGCCAAGCCATTGTTAAGGTCAATCTTTGGTTAGTCTATATCGCAGTCGCTCTTTTTCTTTTCTTTTTTTCTTTTTGAGACAAGGTCTCTCTATATAGCCCTGGCTATTCTGTTGCTTGCTATGTAGACCAGGCTGACCTTAGAGATCTGCTTGCCTCTGCTTCCTGAATGCTAGGATTAAAGGTGTGTCCCACCAGCTGACAGTCACATATTTTAGCATTGATTTCTTTTCTGTTTACTCTAGAGCGTTCATCATCACAGGACAGACCTACACACGGAAAGTGGACATCGAAGTGCTCTCTGTGCTGGCCAGCTTAGGGGCGTCGGTGCACAAAGTAAGCGGGGGCAGCCTGCAGGCTGGAGGGTGGAAACTTGAAGGAATCCTCAGACAGACCAAGGCAGCTAATAGTTCAGTTCATTGTTTCTCGGTGCTTTAGGCATAATAATTTGGGATCTATAGGGAAAGCCTTTAAATTGAGTGTGCTAAAGGGGAAGGTTCCCCAAACATCTACAACGTGTCCATCTTTTGAAGGATGTGTTAAATTTGAAATTTCTCAGCGAGGTGTAGTGGTGCATGCCTCATCACTCAGAGGGAGAGGCAGAACTGATCCAGGGTCCAGGGTTTTGTTTTTCTTAAGATTTATTTATTTATTTTTGGTATGTGACGTCACTCTCTTCAGACATACCAGAAGAGGGCATTGGATCCCTTTACAGGTGGTTGGGAGCCACCATGTGGTTGTTGGGAATTGACCTCAGAACCTCTGGAAGAGCAGTCAGTGCTCTTGACTGCTGAGCCATCTCTCCAGCCACCAAGACTTTCTTAAGAAAAGAAAAAAAGATTGTCTTTCCATGACCTATCTATGTCTCTTTCTCCTTTTCACACAGTCTGTCTGTTGCATATCCCTCCCCCAACACACAGCTATTATCTCTTTTTTTCCCCCTCCAAGTCAGGGTCTTAGCCTAGGCTTGCCTCAAATTTTATCCAGCTGCTGAGGTTATAGATACACACCACCACACAGAGCTTTGTTATATCTTAAGCAGTTTTTGACAAAAACCATTTCTGTTGCTGTTCTGTGGTACTTAGACTCCAGGGTCCTGTGCATTCCAGGAGAGTGGTTCCTACAGAGCCACCTCCGAGTCTCTGTTCTTTGTATTTGTCATCCCAGCTTTTCAGGAGCAGAGAGAAGCCTGGGTAGAAACTCCAAGTACTTCTAGGTGGGGAGGGCTGGCCTTGAACTCAGCAGTAGCATGACACACTAAGAGTTCATTGCCTGTGTGAGCCTAGTCTGGTCCAGGCTCCCTGGGTACCAAGTGCTGGGGATGATACCCAGTCTGCCTCCACAGATTTGCACTGACATACGCCTGCTGGCGAACCTGAAAGAGATGGAGGAGCCTTTTGAGAAACAGCAGATTGGTAAGTAGAGACATTGTAGCAGCACAAGGCTGCTGGAGAGGTGTGTGGGTGTCCCTATGGAGAGGTGTGTGGGTGTCCCCATGGAGAGGTGTGTGGGTATCCCTATGGAGAGGTGTGTGGGTGTCCCCATGGAGAGGTGTGTGGATGTCCCCATGACTCTTCAGCGTACTCCTAGCAGGTGTTTGTGCACTTGCTGTCCTTAGATGTCTTTCTGCCTCTGCATCTTGTCCTCTTCTGTGGGCAGGCTCCAGTGCAATGCCATACAAGCGGAATCCCATGCGCTCTGAACGTTGCTGCAGCCTGGCTCGTCACCTGATGGCCCTTACCATGGACCCACTGCAGACAGCTTCTGTGCAGTGGTTTGAACGTACTCTGGATGACAGTGCCAACCGGTCAGTGATGGGGGCAATGCACACAGCATAGGTCGAGGGAGGGTAAAGGAAGGAAGCAAAAAGACGTATTTGAAGATGTCTGCTTTCTTCATTACCCTCGAAGAAGCATTGACTGGAGCGGTGTGCTTAGTGTTGCACTCCTAGTGTAGTGATTGTTAGAAGAGTCCAGGCAGTCTTCCAAATGAGGGTGATGGCTTAAGACTTGGCAAGGAAGTGTTAAGATGTAACTCAGCTAGTAGAACGCTTGCCTATAAGAACACGCACAGACACAGAGGCAGGAGGTCAACAGAGGCGTGACTTAGTAGGTGGAGAATGGAGCCCTTAGCTAAGGTATGAGCACAGGGAGCAGCTAGTCTTTGGAGAGTCTCAAGGCCCTCAAAGGAGTCTAGTTTCGCCATGAAAACCTGTTTGTTCATGTCCTCCTGTCTATCATTTTCATAATTTAGGTTATTTTATGAGTATTTTGTGTGTGCGTGTGCGTGTGCGTGTGCGTGTGCGTGTGTGTGTGTGTGTGTGTGTGTGTACACCATGCTTGCCTGGTACCCACAGAGGTCAGAAGAGGACACTGGATCCCCTGGAGTTAGAATTGTGGATAGTTGGAAACTGGCCGTATGGGTTCTGGGAACCCATACGTATGGGCCGTATGGGTTGTTCTTGTAAGAACAACCAGTGGTCTTAACCACTAAGCCATCTGTCCTGTGTACTTTAAATGATATCTAGATTGCATACCACACCAGAGACTGTATGAATGCTGGGTGAATGCTTGCCGTTACTGTCAGTTAGGGACTGTGTGAATGCTGGGTGAATGCTTGCCGTTACTGTCAGTTAGGGGGTAGATAAGAAACTGACTACTGAAGCAGTTTATTTTTCCAAACATACTGATCCATGGCTGATTGACGCCGTGGGTGCTGAGCGCTCAAATACAGAAGGCTATGGTAGAAGTATAACCTGACTCAGTTTGCGTGCTGAAACACTCCAGCATCATTTAGGGAGTCACTTTACGGAGGACACTAAACAAGCTAGACCCTTTAGCAGTTCAAGCCCACCTGAGCACAGGGCCATGTAGATGGAAAGGATGAGTGTGAGTAAGGTTAGCCAGCTAGCCAGCCTCAGTTGACAGGAGAACTGGGCTAGTGGGGCATGCTGGCCATGCCGAGACAGACCCACTGTGGGGAGAACACATTGGGAGTAGCAAGCCAGAGCAGTGAGGGAATGGCTGGACTCACACTGGAGTTGGCGCTGGAGCTTTGGGTATGACGTCTGCTGCTGGGAGTGGAGAAGATAAGGGCTGTGAGGAACCTAGGATGTGTGAAGTCCTGAGACCGAAAGAAACTGTATAGAGCGGATACCTGAGCAGCCAGTAGGGCAGCTGCTTGGAACACTGTGCCCTGCGTCTCTGGCATTTGAGTAACTGAATGCATTTGTTTTGTAGACGGATCTGTTTGGCTGAAGCATTTCTCACTGCAGATACTATATTAAATACCCTACAGAACATTTCTGAAGGATTGGTGGTATACCCCAAAGTAAGAGGCCTGGGGGTATGGGAAGGGGAGTGCTCTGGAGTGAGTCTATAGGGGTGCTATAGGCTAGCCCAGCCCAGTAAGAGCTCTTCTACCCAGACCTCATCCTAGAGTTCAAGACATAGTGAACTAGGGAATTCATAGTGAATTAGGGAGCTCGATCTGTGGATCTCATAGACGTGCATACAGAGGGAAAAACACTGAATTGTCTTGACTGTGAGCACCTCAAGTAGCCAAGCAGAGAGGTGGAACCAGTTGCCTTGGTTTTGGTGGTGGTTTATAAGTGGGTTTCTTTTATTTTGTTTGTTTATTTGTTTGTTTTTCAAGACAAGGTTTCTCTGTGTAGCCCTGGCTGCCCTGGAACTCACTCTTTAAATCAAGTTGGCCCCAAATTCACAGAGATCCACTGTACTGGGATTAAAGGTGTATAGCACCATACCTGACCAGTTGCTTTGTTTTAGGTACCTGAACCAGATTCATCTTCATGATGTAACCATTGAAGTGGGACACTAAAATTTAACAAGCGAGGGGAGGGCATTTGATGTGTATATATTTTGTCTGCATGTATGTATGTGTATCATATATGTGCAGTACCCATGAAGAACCAGAAGCAGGTGACAAATCCCTTGGGACTGGAGTTACAGGTGATTGTGAGCAGTCATATCGGTGGTGCTGGAAACCAAACCCAGGTCCTGTGTAGGAGCAGCCAGTACTCATAGCCACTGAGCCAGCTCTCCAGCCCCAAATTGTAGGTTTAGGGAGTGTCCCATGAAGCTGCTTCTGAAAGTTTACTTAAGAAAGGAAGAAAAGGAGGAAATCTGAATTTGTTTTCTTGTATGTGTGTTTTTGTTTTTTTAAATTGTTTATTTAATGTATGTGAGTACACTGCAGCTGTCTTCAGACACACCAGACGAGGGCATTGGATCCCATTACAGATGGTTGTGAGCCACCATGTGGTTGCTGGGAATTGAACTCAGAACCTCTGGAACAGCAGTCAGTGCTTTTAACCACTAAGCCATCCCTCCAGCCTGGAATCTGGATTTGTAAGAAAACTAAGAAATGGGGCTGGAGAGATGGCTCAGTGGTTAAGGGCACTGACTGCTGTTCCAGAGGTTCTGAGTTCAATTCCCAGCAACCACATGGTGGCTCACAACCATCTGTAATGGGATCCAATGCCCTCTTCTGGTATGTCTGAAGACAGCTGCAGTGTACTCATACAAGTAAAATAAATAAATCTTTAAAAAAAAAAAAAAAAGAAAGAAAACTAAGAAACAGTCCTAAATAAAAGACCAAATCACCCATCTCTGTAAACAGTGGCACTTCATGGCCCCACCGCATTTTCTTGACCTGCTGTGGCTTCATAATGTTGAGGCATGTCTTGGCCCTTTTAGGTAATTGAACGGCGCATTCGGCAAGAGCTTCCTTTCATGGCCACAGAGAACATCATCATGGCAATGGTCAAAGCCGGGGGCAGCCGACAGGTATGTCAGTGGTGAATCTCAGTGGTGAACCATGCTGGGATAGTGGCACGCACCTTTAATCCCAGCATTCAGGATGCAGAAGCAGGTGGGTCTGAGAGCTCAAGGCCAGCCTGGTCTAGGTAAAGAGATTCTGTCTCAAAACAGTGAATCAGATAAAAGGGATAGCATAAGGTCTGAATCTTCTGTTGGAAAGAAAGAGGCAAGAGCCTCCTTCCTAAGGTTCGGGGGAGGAGGAGCTCTAGAATAGCCTCCACAGCAGGGCAGGTTCTGATGTGATGTCTGATGACTGTGTAAGGTCTACACAGGTTATGATGAGCTAACACTGTCTCACTCTCTCCCTAGGACTGTCATGAGAAAATTAGAGTGCTTTCCCAGCAGGCAGCTGCTGTGGTTAAGCAGGAAGGGGGTGACAATGACCTTATAGAGCGGATCCGGGCAGATGCCTACTTCAGCCCCATTCACTCACAGTTGGAGCATTTGTTGGACCCCTCTTCTTTCACTGGCCGAGCACCTCAGCAGGTAACTGTCCAGTAGGATACTCTGAGGAGTACTGTTTCTATGATGCTGACGCAGAACCTGAACCTCTGGGAGTGTGAGAGGAGTATGGGAGGGGCCACCTAGACAGGAGAAAAATATAGTAGAGGCTGGCCCTGGTGGTACAGGACTTTAATTCCAGCCTGGGTTACATAGTGAGTTCTAAGCCAGTCAAGGTTGCATAGATCATAGAAAGACCCTGTCTTAAAGCAAACAAAAAAATTGACATCCCCTACCCCAAGGATGTGAGAATTGTGCCTCCCTGTGGTGTCCTCAGGGTCAGAATGCTTGGAGCATGACAGCCAATCAAACGTCAGTGGGCAGCCAATTGGACGGCAATGGGCAGCCAATCGGATGTCAGTGGGCAGCCAATCAGATGTCAGTGGGCAGCCAATCAGATGTCAGTGGGCAGCCAATCAGATGTCAGTGGGCAGCCAATCGGACAGCAATGGGCAGCCAATTGGACATCAGTGGTATACTTTCATTCAGCTTTTTGAACCAAAGAGCTAGTTTTTGTTTTGTTTTCTTTTCTCAAAGACCAAAACTGTGCTTTTATTTGCAAGGAACAAAATGTTTAGGCCACAAGGACTCACACCACAAAACGCCTGAATTCCTTCTGGTTCTAGCTCCAGAGGATCCAGGGCATTCATTCTTCTAGTCTCCACTGACAGCTGCACACACAGGCACATACACACAGAGACATAAGCTTAAATAAAAATAGGGATCGTAGGGACTTTGAGCCAAGGCCGTGATCGGTACAGCCAAGGGCGGAAAGTTAGTCCCTAGGAGACTGGTCGGATAAGCCTAGGGCTGGGGATGGAGAGATGTGCAATTGCAGACTGAGTGTCTGGCTTGCCTCTGCATGATGTTCTTTAGGCATGTGCTGGGTTGACGTGTTTCTTTCTGGGAGACATGGCTAACAGACAGCACACACTCAGTGGAGGAAGCTTCAGTGTGCTAGGTCTTAGTGCTAGAAGAGTTTTGAAGAAGGTACTAACATTTTTCTTTGTCTTTTGTTTGCTCTTCCCTGGCAGGTCGACAGGTTCCTGGAAGAGGAAGTGTACCCCCTGCTGAAGCCTTACGCAGATGAGCTGGTCGGGAGAGCAGAGCTGTGTCTGTAGAGCAGGAGGGAGTTAAGGAAAGCCGATGAGCTTGCTGATCATAGTGTTAACAGCTAATACTGCATGTGGTGGTACACACTCAGGAGGCAGAGGCAGGCGGGGCTCTGAGTTCAAGGCCAGCCTGGTCTACAAAGTGAGTTCCAAGATAGCCAAGGCTACACAGAGAAATCCTGTCTTAAACAAACAAACAAAAAGAATGTATAAAATTCTGTTGCTTGGGGCTCACAACAGACAGTCGCGCATTCTTGTTTTCTCCAGTCTTGTTGAGACAGGGTCTCACTATGTATCACTGGCTGGCCTGCAACACAGAAATCTTCCTCAGCTCCCCAATGGCAGGATTAAATGTGTGCCCCACTATGCCTGGCTCTTTTCATTTTTTACAGCAACATAATCTTGCAGAATAATGTAGCTCATACTTACTTTCAAGGTACCTCAAGTCTACAGTGTTTCCTCACTTATTGTGTCACCATAAACCTTTCATAAGTTAAAAAAATGAGTTCAGTTCACCTACCAAACATTATTATGTGCTCATAACACTGACAGTAACTTTTGGTCAGAGAAGATTGCTTAACAAACCCTGTTAATAATATAGACAAATGCCTAGTGTTGTTTACTGAGTCCTCTGTGGGCACACTGCCACACACTAGGCTAGACTCTCCTATAGTCCTTTTCAAGTATTTACTTAATTGTAAAGTAGCAAGAAATTCCTGGTCCCCATGGGAATGGATTTAAGTCAAAAAATCACCAGGATCCGTGATTCAGAATCAGCAGATCCCTTGATTTCAATTCTCTTCGCCGAGGTTAAATAGTGACGTCTGAGGCTCAGGAGCAGGAAAGAGTGGATATTGTTGGGTCCCTTCAGTTCTGGTTGTGCCTATTCCATCTTTTACAGAGGTTTGCTTCTCAGGGCAATGCTAACTGGGTAAACTGATTGCATTATGGGGCCTCCCAGTCTCTTACCCTTGTTAAGTAGATTGGTAGCTGTTCGGACAAGCCAGTCAAAGGGTAAATTATGAAAAGACCAGCCGGAAGGGGAGCATTAGCCTTGCCTCAGACTATATTTTTGGTGTGTATGGAAAGGAAGAGCTGGCAAGATGGCTCAGCTAGTAAAGAGGTGAAGGGGGCAAACAGACTTCACAAACTTGTTCTCTGACCTCCACTAATAATAGTAAAATGGTGTAAGTGAGAAAGCTGCTGTGGTAACACACAACTTTTCATATCAGCACTCAGGAGGCAGAAGCAGCCAGAAACACTAGAACCCTCAGACCTGAGGACAGTGCTCCACCTCCCAACCACAGCACCCCATAGAGAGGACCCTAACAGTCATGTAGGAGCCAAGAACCCCTTCCACATGCAGATGAGACATCCCTAACATCTCAGACCAAGCCAATGAAAAGCATCTCTTAGACTCCGAACCTGCCCTAAAATTTCTATAAGACCCTGTCCACAAGGAATAAAGGTGTGGGAATTGTCTCACCAAAGGTTGTCTGGGAGCATCTGCCATAGAAGAGCTGTAACACTCTTGGGAAGAGCGTTCTCTCCATAAGTTTTCACCACTGGAAGCTGCCTGAGCCTACCACGGTCACTAGGCAGCCCCAACCTTGACTCCTAGACCCTCTCATCTGAGTAGTGTCCTGTGCTCTAGAGTAGTAGAGTGACTCTCCCTCCCCTTCAGAATGGGCAACACTTTGGCCACTGCTGCCTGACCAGAGCTCGGTAGATCTCCACAGATAGCGTCTATTACACAGACCAACATACACAATGAGTTTGGGGCCAGTCCAGAGACCTTCCCACAAAATAGACATGAAGATTTTGTTGATCAGAGTTTTAGTTGACAAGAACTAGGAGAATTAACCAACTTGCTAACAACTGAGATTTCATCTAGCAAGGATAAATGAAAACAAACCCTAAACTCAGTAGGAGCCAGAACTAAGTTTTGGGGAACATGGCAGTGGTGTCCTGAAAAGTCACCTGATAATATGCCACGCCCAGTATTATGTTCAATCTTAGGGCCTAAGAGAAACATCAGACTAAGACCCCAGTGTCTTCTGAGGTCTTAGTGTGTGTGGACTTCTCCATGCTGGCCTTGAAATGGTACCTTAGCCTCCAGGGTGCAGCAACGGTAGGTGTACTGTTTAATAAAAGACTGATATCAAGGGCTGTTGTCTAGCAAGAAAAACTTGAGTGTGACCTACAACTTGTCTGAGAAGGAGCTAGAAGACAATGTCAGGAGTGTTTGAAGGAGGAAGTCTGGAACTTTTTTTTTTTTTTTTTTTTTTTGGTTTTTCGAGACAGGGTTTCTCTGTATAGCCCTGGCTGTCCTGGAACTCACTCTGTAGACCAGGCTGGCCTCGAACTCAGAAATCCACCTGCCTCTGCTTCCCTACTGCTGGGATTAAAGGCGTGCGCCACCACTGCCCAGCATCTGGACCTCTTCTAGTTGTGATCTTAAGTATCCAGAGTCTCAACTTGCCTTGATATCCCAGCACTTAGGAGGCTGAGGCAGGAGGATTGCCATGGGAATAATTCCAGGCCGCATAGTGTACAGATTGAAATATTCAGTGTTTAAAAAAAAAAAAAAACAATCTCAGTGGTACCGTGCTGGACTTAGCCCTCTTTCAATAAAGGAGTCCTCCTGCAACAAAAGCCAGAGGTGAGGGGCGTCTGGTGAAAAGGAATAAGGCAGCTTTCAAAACAAAGTCTCAGTGCAGCTCAAGAGCAACAAACATGGACCATACAGAGTCATGCTCAGCTCTTCAGGAAAATGCATTTATTTGTACATGTGTGGATGATGGGTGTTAGTGATTGACACTGGGTATCTTTTTTTTTTTAATTTTTTTTTTTTTGTAGTATTTCAAGATGGTCTCTGTGTGACCCTGACTGTCCTGGCACTCTAGACGAGGCTGGCGGCCTTGAACTCAGAGATCCACTTGCCTCTGCCTCTGCCTCTGCCTCTGCCTCTGCCTCTGCCTCTGCCT